CCCCCCAAAACCCCATTCCCCACCCTGGGGCATTCCAATGAGGTCCGCGGGTTTCCGTGGCCTCCGAAAGGGGGGTCGGCGTCGTTTTGGGGCCGGGGTCGGCCGGGGGGGCCCCCTGAGCATGAGGCTGAGCTCCCGCTCCAGCACCTCCAGCTCCCTGCGGGCCACGGCGGCTTCTCGCTGCCGCAGAGCCTCGGCCTGGGAGCGCTGGGCCCGCGAGGCTCTGGCCACGGCCTCCTCCCGGCTGCGCAGCTCCTGGGGGGACACCGGGGCTGGGGGGCAGCTCGGGCTCCAAGGGGTTAAAGGGGTCCCGGGGGTCGTGGGGGCCACGGGGGAGAAGGTGCAGCCCTGAGTGATGGCAGGGCAGGGGAGCTGGTGAGGAGTTTGGGGGGGTCCCGGGGGAGTTTGGGGTGTCCTGGGATGGTTCTCCCTGTTGTTGGAGGGGTCTAAGGGGGTCTGGGGGTGTCCCTGGGGGCCTGGGGTGGTCCCAGGTTTTGGGGGTGGTCACAAGTGTTGGGGAATGTCCCACATTTTAGGGTGAAACTCAAGAGTTGGGGGTCCCAGGTGTTTGGGGGTGTCCCAGGTTTTGGGGAGGGGTCCCAGTTGTTGGGGAGGGGTCCCAGTTGTTGGGGAGGGGTCCCAGGTGTTTGGGGGGGGAAGGAGGGTGCTGTCCCACCTTCTCCCGTGCCCTCAGCTCGTCGAAGAGCCCCTGGATCTCGCGGCGCCAGGATTCCTGCAGGGAGTGGAAGGACTCGGGGGGCCCCAGCCCCCCCGGCTCCAGCCCCCCCAGGCGCCGCAGGATGGTCCCGAAGCCCGGCCGCCGGTGGGGGTCCTGCTCCCAGCAGGCTGAGGGGGGAACCGGGGGTCTGGGGGGGGCTCCTGGGGAGCCCCGACATCCCCCAGGTACCCCCCCAATCCCCCTCCTGAGGACACCAAAGATCCAGAACCCCCCCAACCCCTCCGAGCCCCCTTGACCCCCTGAATCCCCCAGACCCCCCAGACCCCCCGTACCTGCCATGAGCTGGGCGAAGGGCGGTGGGCAGGTGGACGGGATGGGCAGGGTCAGTTTGTTCACGGCCACCCCGTAGGCCACGGCCAGGCCGTCGATGCCCCGGTACGGCACCTCCCCGGTCAGCAGCTCCCACAGCAGCACCCCGTAACTTTGGGGGGCAGGACGAAGGGGGTCAGACCCCCTCAGATCCCCCCAAAACCACCCGACAAACATCCAGGTACCCTGTGAGGCACCCAGACACCTCCCAAACCTGCAGCTCCGTGACCCCACAAAGTCCAGGTAACCCCACCCAAGGGGTTCGGGCACCCCAAACTCCATCCCAGCCCAGAGTTTTTTCCCTGCCAGGACCCCCAGGACCCTTCCCCACCTCCAGACGTCGCTGCCCTTGGAGAAGGTGGATGCCCGGATGACCTCGGGGGCCATCCAGGCGTAGGTCCCGGCCGCGCTCATCTTGGTCGTTCGCTGCCACTCCCGGGCCAGGCCGAAATCGGTGATTTTCAGCGTTTTCCCACTCACATCGTCCCCCACAACGGGCTGTGCCAGCAGCACTGCGGGGCCACGGGGTCAGGGACCCCCCCAAACAACACCTGGGGTCTCCTCCCCCCCGGGAAACCTTGGCCTCCGCGTCCCCCCCTACCCCGCTGGGGACAGCCAGGACCCCCGCCCTGGGCACAGCAGCAACGTCCCAGGGTGGGGATCCCAATCCAGGACACCCATTTGGGGTCCCTTGGCCTCCACATCACTGGGGACCCCAATGTCTGGGACCCCCAACCTCTGGGACCCCCCCACCGTGGGGACCTCAGTGTTTGGGATTCATCACCCTGGGCATTCCAATAACTTGGAGCCCCCACCCTGGGGACCCTTGGACACCACCTTGGGGACCCCAATGTCTGTGATTCCCCACCCTGAGGAGCCCAATGTCTGGGATCCCCCACCTTGGGGACCCCAATTCCTGGGATCCCCCACCCTGGGGACCCCAATGTCTGTGATACCTCACCCTTGGGACCCCAATGTCTGGGATCCCCCACCTTGGGGACCCCAATTCCTGGGATCCCCCACTCTGGAGACCCTTGGGACAGACACCCCACCCTGAGACCCCCCCACCTCTGCGACCCCCACACCTCCAGAACCTCACCGTTCCGGACCCCCGTCCCCCCCACCCTGCCCCATCCCAGACGCCCCCTCCCATCTCACCATTGCTGGATTTGAGGTCCCGGTGGATGAGGGGCACGGGGGTCCCGGAGTGCAGGTACCGCATCCCCCGCGCCACCTGGCGCGCCCAGTCCAGCAGGACGGCGGGGGGGACCCTGCGGCCGGCCAGAGCCCTGGACAGCGGCCCCCCGGCCGCGAATTCCATCACCAGGCACAGGTGGGGGGGCTCCAGGCACACGGCTCGCAGGGCCACCACGTTGGGGTGTCGCAGGCGGGCGTAGAGCCTCGCCTCCCTCCTGAGGCTGGCAGCCCCCGCAGCCCCCGCGTCCCCCCGAGCCGCCTTCACCGCCACCACCTGGCCCCGCCACGTCCCGCGGAAAACTCGGCCGAAGCCCCCGGCCCCGATCACCTCCTCCAGCCGCAGCTCCCCGAAAGCCGCCCGGGCCGGTTCCCAGCCCCCCGGAGGGGATGGGGAGCGGGAGCCCCCCGGGGATGGAGGAGAGGGAGAGCGGGACCCCCCCGGGGATGGGGGGGACGGGGAACGGGAGCCCCCCGGGGATGGAGAAGGGGAGCGGGACCCCCTCGGGGAGGGGGGGAAAGGGGAGCGAGACCCCTCTGGGAAGAGGGGGGAAAGGGGGGGTGACGGGGAAAGAGGGGGTGAGGGGGAGTGGGACCCCGCCGGGGGGGATGGGGAGGGGGATGCTCGGCCCCACTCCATGGGGTGCTTCCCCCCCCCAGCCCCAGCGATGGCGCTGGGGGGGTTTGGGGGT